AATGGGATACGGACTGTGGCATAAGAATCTAACAGCTTTACAAATGTACAATATAACCTCACTCAAAGAGTGGAGGGAAGTGTAGATCTAAATAATGGTGAAATTGAGTAGAAACTGTAAAATTTTAAACATGGAACTGCCCATAACCACTGTATGGTGACTAGTTGATGAAGTCATTTTCCACAGCGGTATGGGTGAACAATTCTGAACCATTGTACGTATATACTAGGATTGAACATGTAAGTAAATGAAAGGCAGATGGTGGAAATCAGATTTCACACTGTCATTGGAGTGGGAAATTACAGACAGAGAAGGGGGGAAGGTTAGAATTATGCATGTGGTACTGGAAGAGAATCAGAAACATTAATATGAACCCAAGTTTAGCTTAATTAGATACACATTAATATATGTATATTAATACAAATATTTCCTAGCTCTGCTGAGCAGGCCTGGAAACAATGACATTCCAGTAACAACAAGCATACTCAGTGCCCAGATCTTGGTTTCTAATACTATTTTCCAATACAAGGAACCAGAGATCGTTGGAGAAATGACTGATTCTATGGCTGGAGCAGGAAATTCATCTAAGATGAATCAGAATGTAAACAAGTGCTAAAAAAAAACCCTACAATAAACCAACAAAAACTGGTGGGGGTATGTGAAAGGGACACAGCAGCCAACAGAGAGAGCTCCCAATGGTCAAAGGTGGAACAATTTCAACAACAAAATAAATATTATAATATTGGATTATAATTCAAAGTATAAAATCAATACCCACGAGTCCATACTGATATAAATAAATGATTGGATAAGTAAACAAATGAGGGAAGAATAGACAAATCTCCTGTACAAAAGAATTCTAAATAATTCATGTCGATATTCCTCCCTTGAAAAGGTGGAGCTTGACTCCCCATCCCATTTAAGTGTGGGCTTTGCATGTTGACTTCCTTCTAAAGAGTACAGAATATAGAGGGGAGGCGGAAGGGTAACTTTACAGCAGAAAAATCTGACAATCACTACCTCAGATCAAGGTTCACATCATTAGTAGTAAGTCACGTTGACAGCATGTACCCCTGATATGATATGATGCAAACAACACTACCTCTGTAGTCTTCCTCCCAGAAATCCATAACCCCTGACTATCATCAGACAAACCCAAACTGAAGGACATTCTACAAAATACATGACCAGTACTCCTCAAAACTCAAGATCATCAAAAACAAGGAAAGTCCAAGAAAATGTCACAGTCTAGAGAAAACTGAGGAGACATTATGATTAAATGTAATACATCTTGGATGAGATCCTGAAAAAGAAAAAGGACATTAGTTAAAAACTAAGGAAATTGAGGGGCCAGCCCCATGGTGTAGCAGTTAAGTTCACTCGCTCTGCTTCCACAGCCTGGGGTTTGAAGGTTCGGATCCCGGGTGTGGAATGACTCATCGCTTGTCAAGCCATACTGTGGCGGCGTCCCACATAAAGTAGAGGAAGATGGGCATGGATGTTAGCCCAGGGTCAGTCTTCCTCAGCAAAAAGAGGAGGCTTTGCAACAGATGTTAGCTCAGGGCTAATCTTCCTCACAAAAATAAAAAATAAAAAAAAAAATAACTAAGGAAATTGGCATACGATATGGACTTTTGATAATAATGTGTCAATATTGGTTTGTTAATTGTGATAAATGTACCATAGTAAAGTTAATAGGAAAAACTGGGTACAGGGTATACAGGAACTCTTTGTAAAATTCTTCAAATTTTCTGTATTGTAAAACTATTTTAAAATAAAAAAACTTATTAAATGTTTAAAAAAACTTGCCTACGGGTGAGTTCCAAACAATCTCTTACTTTAATAAGCCCTCCAGGTAATTCTGAGGCATGGTCAAGTTTGAGAATCATTGCTTTACTGTATAACCAAAAGGAGGCTTATGGTTAGAAAAGCTCAAGGTTTTAATCACAAGGTAGGGGCCAAAGAGCATCTTACACACAGTTTGTCTCTGGATGGTCTCAGTGAACAAATAAATAAGTAACAGATATGTTTTACGTGAACTCATAAAGAAAGTATCATGATTTGTATATAATCCATTTGTGAGGAGGGGTGACAATAAAATGCTTTTGTGACTCAATTATATTGTAATTGTATCATACCAATTCTAGCTTAAGAAGGGGCCAAGAAAGGCTTCATAGAGTGCTGGCTATTGGGATCTCTGAAGGTAGCCCTTTTCCCATACAGTTCTGAATTAACTGAAAAATATAGTAAGAATAGATATGGTAGATTGAAGCCAAAATATGACATTATGGATAAAAGCCTTCTGTTAAACTCCCAAATTTGAGGACTTACCCACCCACTCATTAAAGGATCTAGACCACCTCAGGCCTACCCTAACCATCTCCAGAGGCTTCGTGAGTAAAGGTGTGGAGAAGAGTCAAGACTGGCTACTAGAGCTCTCTCCTCGAAGAACCATCAGGAGTGGAGAAGATGTGTTCTCTCTGTCATTGGCAGTAAATAAGAGCAGGCAAGGCAGATATAAATTTGTGATGCTTTTCCAGGTGGAGAAGGATATGTAGTCAAGATCTGGTTGTAAGGCCAGTTTAGAGTTAGGGGATCTGACCCATGAAATAGACAGATTCTATGGGTATATAGTGGAGTTTGAGGCAGTTTCTCAATATATGTCAAATTCAAGTAACATTCAGGCAATGGTTGATACAGAGATCCAGGAAAAAATCCTATTTGCCATCCCAGGGCTTTGTCTATGAATGGTCGTTCCTCTGCCATTAAGTAGAAGATTAACTAGATTTTTACTTTCTTTAACCATAACAGGTAACTGAGATGTTACTATATTAGGTTCTATATATTGTCACATTGAATGTAAGATCATTTGTTTTTATAATTAGCATATCTGTGCCACAGTGCTACTTCGAAGTATATATAACTAAATTATAAATGAAGATCTGGTGGTCTAAAAGAAAGTAAGTTTAGAGAACCAAAAACCTAAATTTCTATCCTCAAAACTGCCAGTATTCCTGTGCAGCCTTAGACTTCTCACTTAGCTTCTCTGTTTCTCATTTTCTTCATTGATAAAATGAACAGATTGGACTAGATATACCTCAAATTGTGTCCATGTGGGTAATTCATTTACTTTTTCACTTATCCTATACGTACCTTAGCCAGATTTACTTGTATTAACTATATCTCTCCCTCGCTTTAATTGCATAAATAATTGCATAGTTTACTGCATAAATAATAAAAATTAAAGAATATTTTTAAAAAGAAGAATCAACCAATACTATAAAAGACTAGCAGTTGTAAATTTTCTGTTTCCTGACCTTGTCCATTGCATAAGCATTTTACATTGTTATAACCACACTGTATGTTCTGTTCTGGATTGTTCTGTCACTTAACATTTTATCATAAACATATTTTCATAAATTTTTATTATTATATTTAATTACTACTTAATATTCTTAGATGAGTAGTCTATAATTTATTTAGCTATTCCGACTGGTTTATGAGATTATGACTTGTATTTTTTTAGATCATAAGGAAGGTGTTTTTCTCAGGCTTTGGGTGTTCTTAAGAGGAGGCTGAGCAGTGTACACTCTTAAAACTTGTTTTCCTAAAGCTCTGGAAACTTTACCCATCCCAAAGCGTCATGGATCCCTGCTTCACACCCTATTTTTTTTTTTTTGTAAGGAAGATTGGCTCTGAGCTAACATCTATGCCAATCTTCCTCCATTTTGTACATGGGATGCCGCCACAGTATGGCTTGATGAGTGGTGTGTAGGTCCTCACTTGGGATACAGGCCTGCGAACCCCGGGCTGCCAAAGCAGAGTGCACGAACTTAACCACTACACCCCTGGGCCAGCCCCTTCACACCCTATTTTTCTTTTTGCTGAGGAAGATTGGCCCTGGGCTAACATCCGTGCCCATCTTCCTCTACTTTATACGTGGGACGCCTGCCACAGTATGGCTTGATAAGCGGTGCATAGGTCTGCACCTGGGATCCAAACCTACCAACCCCGGGCCACCAAAGTGGAGCGCACGAACTTAACCACTACACCCCTGGGCCAGCCCCCTCACACCTTATTTGTAACAGAGAACATTGAACTCTGACCTATGTGCCTTGTTGTGGCTCTTTATTACCCACACAACCAAGTCCAAACGCCCCAGCTCTGAAACTCTGTGCTCGGTGAAGTTTTCCAAGGACCTTAGGCCTCTGACTGGCCTAAATGCTTGTGGCTAACCCTTTTCAAAATATTATTTGAGTGGATGTTGAGCCTATTTTATTCCTATATTTAACCAGAACTTCCACTGAAGAGTCTTTTTAGCTTCTGGTAAAGACGATTAGAGGCAGGTTGTGATCTAAATCAAAAGGCAACTAAAAAAAGGCCAAACAAAGTATAAAACGTTGTTACTGTAGACTAGAAATTAACTTGAGGGCTCAAAGAAGGGTCGCATACTATGTCCCTGCATACACTTGCCCATATTCTTCTTGAGTAGTAGCAGCAGTCACTCCCCTAGTCTCTTATTTTTTTTTTTTTTCCTGAGGAAGATTTGCCCTGAGCTAACATCCGTTGCCAATCTTCCTCTTTTTGTACATGAGCCACCACCACATACAAAAGAGAAGGCTTCTGACAGAGGAGTGCTGTAAGACTGTGCCTGGGAACCGGGCTGGGGCCCCTGAAGCAGAAGGCACCGAACTTAACCACGAGGTCACCGGGACTGGCCCCAGCCTCCCTGTTAATATTATGGGGTAGATGTAAGGGGATGCCCTTGGAGTTACGACTGAAAGTGTGATACTGGGATAGGCTTGAGATATCAGCAACCGTTTGTGGGCTGTGAGACCCAGTTTGTCTTCAGAGGGATTGAATAGACTACATCTCACAACACAGCCTGTGCCTTGACCATGTAAAGCCACCTGCAATGTATAACCCTTTATGATATTTTGGTGCAATGAAAATTAAAAATAGCAGTTAGTAAATGATTTTTATTAAGTTGTATGTTTTAGATTTACGAGTTATAAGGGCAACACCTGGGAAAATTGCAAAAGAAGATCTGGAGAAGACCATAGAGATAATACTCACAGAGACGGAAACACTGACGCTTTTTAATCTACCAACAGTCATGCTTTCTGTGGAATCTGAAGAAGCTGAGAAAGTAAGGTGTGTGTGGCTCAATTGTCTACATTGCTCCTGCAATTCCAATGCTAAGCCAGAGGTTCTTATCTTTGTTTCTGTTCTTTAGGATTCCTGGATATATACTGGTGGTATATGTGCCTGGTGAAATTATGTATAAAGTTATATATGTGCCCTGTGAAATTACATGTAAAGTGTTTATGTTGTATATACTTTTTTCTAGAGGAAGATCCCATAGCTTTACCACAGTCTTTAAAAAGTAGGTGAATGACTAAGTCAAATAATAAAAGAAATAAAGGAAGCTTCCAAGTCTTAATAGGTTTTTAATTATTTTTTCTTTTATGCATATATAAATTGTTTTCAATTTAAAGGAAAGGACTGACATTTTTATATTCAAAACTCAGGAAGGGAAAATACATTACGTAGAAATAGCTAAATTTACTATATTAGAGCAGATTTTCCATTTCTCTCTATTAATGACTATAAATAGATCATTAATTTTTGCCTTATGTATTTTGAAGCTCTTTTGCTAAATGCATACACATTAATAATTATGTCTTTTTGGAGAATTGGCCCCTTTATCATTATGTAATGCCCCTCTTTTATCTCTGATAATTTTCCCTGCTCTGAAGTCGCTCTGTCTAAAATTAATATGGCTACTATAAATACATATTAACATAGTTATTCAGATTATTATCTTCAAATATAATCTGAATATTTTTCAGAGTACTAAAAATATCCATCACTAAAATAATTTTTACAGTATTATTCTTCTCCAAATATAAAATATTGTAGAATTGTTTGGACTATAAAATATAGAACAATTAGATCCTGAATAATACTTTGAAGAACTCATAAGACATAAGGGAAAGCCCCTAGGACCAAAAAAAGGAAAAGAAAAAATGACAAAGGGATAGATAAGTGATCTGAAATGAGAGAGAGAGAGGCTAGAAGCAAATGTTAGCATTAGCACATGGATCTAGAGTCCATTGGTAATCTTGGGTCCCCCACAAATTGAGAGAGCTGAAAGAGAGATCCTTGGATTAAGCCAAGACACTTAAAAGGATCTCAGTTCTCTCAAGTGGCCCCAGGTCAGTAGGGTCTCCTAGCTACTATCATAAGCAAACACAGATCTTCTCTGGAGGAAAGCATATCCCATTTAGCCTCTTAAAATTCCCTCAGATTGAGTTGGGTGAAAATACACCAAACCAATAAAGAAACAAGCCATTATGAATGAAAATTAAAAGAGAAAACAAACCCTAGATCTAGACCCCGAGGACATGGATAATGATATTATCAGATACAGAATACAAAATATATGTGAAATGTTTAAATAAAAGGTAGAATTAAAACATCATTAACATTAAGAAACTATCAAAATGATGACTCATATTTGGAAAAACATCTAAAAGGAACTTTAAAATAAAGTACGTTTATATAATTGTTGAAATTACAAAACGTTAAATTTAAACAAGACGTAATTGAATAGAGATTTAGTAAATTGAAACATTGATCTGAATAAATTATACTTAATAAAGCTTGGAGAGAAAAATGGGATATAAAGTATGAAAGAGAAGTTAAAAAAGATATTGACAATAGAATAAATGTCAACATATATCTAATCGGTTCTAAAAGGGCCGAATAGGAAGAATGGAGGAGAGGTGCTATTCAAAGAGAGTGGGTAAGGACTTTCCCAGACTATTGAAAGACACCATTCCAACAGAAGTAGGAATAAATAAAAAGAAATCCCAAAAAAGTAATGGACTCAGTGCATTATAGTGATACTCCAGAATACCAAATATTAAAAGAAGATTTTAGAAACAGAACCAAAAAAGAAAGAAGGAACATATTATCTGCAGAGAAACAGTTAAACTGACAGCATTATAAGGGATAAAGAAGGTCACTTCATAATGATAGGAAGATATAATAATTCTAAACTTGAATACTCCCTAATAAAATATCCTCAAAATATCTGAAGCAAAAATTGGAAACTTGGTAAGTATCCTATTAAGGTAGGAGATTTAAACATACTTCTGTTAATTGTTAGTAGGTCAACCAGATAAAAAATTAGTGCAGATATTAAAAATTACAACCAAAAATGTAATTTAATGGTCATATATAGAACTCTACACTCAAGTATTAGAGAACACATACTCTTTTCAAGGACATCTGGAACATTTATAAAAATCATCCATGCACAAGGCCATGAAACAAGGTTTCAAAAATTTCAAAGTGGTGTCATACAAACTAAATTCTCTAACCACAATGGAATGAAGTAAGCAATTAATAACATAAATCTCAACTAAAACATAGACACATTCACATATACACTTGGAAGTTAAAAAGCACATTTCCAAATTCCTCATGAATCAAAGAAGAAATCATAATGGAAATTTAAGAAACACTCAGAACTAAACAATATGAATATAATACAGATTCACAGGATGACACAACGGTAGTACTTTGAGAGAAATTTATAGCTTTAAGTGTCTAGATCAAAGTCCATAATAAAACTTATGTGGAGATAGTGCTGCATATGTTGGTGGGCACTGAAGGTGGCAGGGGTGCTGGCAGTATGGTATAAAAGAGTTTAATGCAGTCTGTTCCTAAGAGGTTTTTTGAACTCTCGCTTCACTTTTTGGAGCAATCCACATTAAAGAAGGTAATTTTAAGAAAAACCAGGGGCTGGCCCCGTGGCTTAGCAGTTAAGTGCGCGCGCTCCGCTACTGGCGACCAGGCTTCGGATCCCAGGCTCGCACCGACCCACCGCTTCTCCAGCCATGCTGAGGCCGCATCCCACATGCAGCAACTAGAGGGATGTACACCTATGACATACAACTATCTACTGGGGCTTTGGGGGGGAAAAAAAAGGAGGAGGATTGGCAATAGATGTTAGTTCAGAGCCGGTCTTCCTTAGCAAAAAGAGGAGGATTGGCATAGATGTTAGCTGATCTTCCTCACACACACACAAAAAAATTGCTTTAAAAGTTGCCTTAAAAAAAAAAAAGAAAAAGAATATTATAAAGAGATGATATGTGTGGTAATAATCAATTTATATTAATGAGTCGTACATATTTTATTTTTTATAGCCAGAGAAACAAGAATTATGAGACCCTTTGTAGAAATAGATTAGGCAATGACTTATATGTTGAAAGGATGATGCAGACTATTAACGGAGCACCAAAGAATAAAGACGTTCAATGTGACAAAATCATAAAGGAAGACAAAGGTAATTTTTTATTCTGCTTGATAAACTGACATATTTTAATATATGTTCTTTGAGTCTGTCAATTAACAAATAAATGTTGAAATATATAAAGCAAAAATAGAAATAATTTGGCCAAATCACAACAGTAGCTGGGTACTGTGATCTACAGCTTTCAGAATTTGACAATAAATTAACAAGTAATAAATACAGATATAGAAGATTTGAGTAATATAATTATCAATCTTGACTTTTATACAAACCATATCATAGAACTTTGTAGTCTTCACACATTTGTGAAGCATTTATAAAAACTGATTGTTTACTACGTCACAAAGAATATCAACCACAACTAATAACATTTAAAATGTGCCAGACACGATTCTAGGCCTTTCGCATATATTAACTGGTTTAATTCTCACAACAACCCTATGAGGTAGGCACTATTATTATTCCCCATTTTATAGAAGAAGAAACAGGCACAGAGGTTAGCTAATTTGCCCAAGGTCACTCAGCTAGTATGGCAGATGACGATACCCCAGACAGTCTGGTTCTCTTAACTACTACACTTGCTATCTTTCAATGTTTATAGATTAACAACCCTGAGAACACTGCATAGCCAAAAATCTGTGAGGTGTGGCCAAAGGGATAATTAGAAGAAAGGTTGTAATCTTAACAGCCTTTTTTACTCAAAAAAACTATAAGCTCGTTCTTTAAAAAGATTAAAATAGATTTCTTAGCAAGTGCTAAATCAAGAAAAAGGCAACTCATCATTAGTAGGAAAGCTTTGCGGCATCTTCACTTGCTCTTGCCCCACTCCCCTCCCCCGTGTGCTGGGGGTCTTAAAGACAGCAGCCTGCCTTCCCAGTGTGAGACCCTGGCCCCTGGTTCCAGAGGAAACAGAGTAGACCTTATTCTCAAAGAATTTGGTTTGTCTGTTTTAACCTGTCTGGGGCCTACCTGAAGGGCTGACACGAGGCACTTTTCCTCTTTTTGCCTGACTCAGAGCTCTCTCAGGTGGTAAGGCAGCTGTGCCTTCTGCATTCTTCAAAAGCACTGCAAAGCAAATGAACAGCTCACTGCTACCTGAGGCAAGAGAATACAATTGAGGCAAACGAGACACACCGAAAAGCCTGGGAGAAAGACCTGGGGAGAGAGTTTCTTAGGGAAATTAAGATATTGAAAAAGGCTTACATATCAGGGGGAATTTAGAAAGTCATGCTCATGCCTAGGGCAGGATGCATGCTCGCAAAAGACCTGAAAAAATCCTAGACTTTCACCTCTAGCTGATCTCTAGGCTCAGTACAAGCAGGAAGTGAAGGCTAAGACATAGTTGTAAACAGCCTGGCTAAGCGTTGAAGGAATATCCCAACACAGACCCAATGAGCAAACACCGGGAGAGGATTTTTTCCCCTTTTCTTTGTTTCTTTGTTCTTTTCTTCTCTCTCTCTCTCTCTTTGAGGGGAGAGGACTCCAGGTGTTCAAGGAAATCTCTGTCAGGACATTAGCTGACCAAAAGCTAAAAAACAAACACTTCTGAGATGATACATGACAAAGGCTGCAGACTTTATAAAAATAGTTTAGAAAATTCACTAAGCAAACAAACAACTACCACTCACAGCAAACTACAAAACCAAACCCTGAGGAGTGGGAAGAATCTGATTTCCAGAGTTACCACATTATTATATTCAAAATATTCAGTTTTCAACAAAAAAATTGCAAAGGATACAAAGAATGAGAAAGTATGGCCCATTCAAAGAAGAAATTAGCAGAAACCTCTGAGGAAGTACAGACTTGCTAGACAAAGACTTTTGATCACTTGTATTAAATATGCTCATAAAGCTAAAGGAAACTACGGACAAAGAGCTAAAGTAAACCAGGAGAGTGATGTATGAAGAAATAAAGAATATCAGTCAAGAGACAGAAATTATAAAAATGATTTCTTAAAGGCAGGTCATTCTTAAAGGCAATTCTTAAAGACAGGTCAATTAAAATGATCCTGTCTGAGGAGTGGAAAGAAAAAAGAATGAAGAAAAACAAAGAGAGCGTGAAGGACCTGTGGGAATCCATCAAGCATATCAATGTACACATAATGGGAATTTCAGAAAGAGAAGAGAAGAAAGAGATAAAGGGGCACAAAGAATATTTGAAGAAATAATAACCAAAAACTTCCCAAACTGTTAAAAGATAAGAATCTGCAGATCCAAGAAGCTCAACAAACTACAAGAGGGATAAACACAGAGATCCACGCTGAGACACATAATCAAACTGTTGAATGACAGAGAGAATCTTGAAAGCAGCAAGAGAAAAGTGACTCATCGTGTGCAAGGGATCCTCAATAAGATTACACTCAATTTTTCAGCAGAAACCATGGAGGCTGGAAATCAGTGGGATGATATGCTTAAAGCACTGAAAGAAAAAACTATCAAGCAAGAATTCTATATCCTTCAAACAATCCTTATGAAGGAGAAATTAAATTCAATAATTAAAATTAAATATATCCTCATGAAGGAGAAATTAAGACATTACCAGATAAACAAAAGCTGAGTGAATTCAGCACTAGTAGAACTGCCTTATAAGAAACGCTAAAGGGGGTCCTTCAGGCAGAAGTGAAAGGACGCTAGACAGTGACTTGAAGACATATGAAGAAATAAAGAACACTGGTACATGTAACTACATAGGTAAATACAAAAGCCAGTATTGTATGTAATTTTGGTTTGTAACTCCTATTTTTTGTAATATGATTTAAAAGAAATGCATAAAATTATAATTATAAATTTATGCTAATGGGCACATAATGTGTAAAGATCAATATAAAGTGGGTGCGATGAAGCTGTATAGGAGCAGTTTTGTATACTGTTAAAGTAAAGTAGTATTAATTCAAAATATATTGTTAAAATTTTAAGAAGTTAATTGTAATCCCAAGGCAGCCACCAAGAAAATAACTTAAAAATTCCGGAAAAGAAAATGAGAAAGGAATCAAAATGATACACTATAAAGATCAAACACAAAAGAAGGCAGTAATGGAGGAATTGAAGAACAAAGAAGATATAGAACGCAAAGCAGACAAATACAAAAATGGCAGAAGTCCTTCCTGAATAGTAATTGATTTAAATAAATGGATTAAACAATCCAATTAAATGGCAGATATTGGCAGGATGGATTAAAAAAAACCTAAACATGATCCAACTACATGCTATCTAACAAGAGACTCACTTTCAATCCAAAGACGCAAATATGTTAAAAGTGATAGGATGCAAATAGTAACCAAGGAAACCTAAGATGGCTTTACTAATATCAGACAAAATAGACTTTAGATATAATTGTTACAAGAGACAAAGAACATTATATATTGATAAAAGATTCAGTCCATAAAGAAGATATAACAATTATAAACATATAAGCACTTAACAAAAGAGCCCCAAAATATATGAAGCAAAAATCAACAGAATTGAAGGGGAGAAACAGACAGTTTACAATAAGAATTGGGAGTTCAATACCCCACTTTCAATAATGGAGAGAACAACTAGACAGATCATCAACAAGAAAATAGAGGACTTGAATAACAATATAAACTAGATATAACAGACATATACAGAACACTCCAACCGAAAACAACAGAATACACATTTTTCTCAAGTTCACATAGAAAACTCTCCAGGATACATTATGTTAGGCAACAAAACAAGAGTTAATAAAATTAAAAATATTGAAATCTTCCTAAGAGTCTTTTATGACCACAATGTAATGAAAATAAAAATCTACAATAGAAGGAAAACTGGAAAATTCACAAATAAGTAGAAATTAAATAACACACTCAAACAATGAATGGGTCAAAAAAGAAAGCACAAAAGAAATTAGAAAATATCTTGAGATGAATGAAAATGAAAATACAATATAACAAAACTTATGGGATATAGTAAAAGTAGGGCTTAGAGGGAAATTTATGGTGGTAGATACATTTAAAAAGAAGAAAGATCTCAAATTAATAAGCTAAATTTACACCTTGGGGGATAAAGAAGATAAAACTAAAGCAAAAGTCAGCAGAAGGAAGGAAATGTTAAAGATTCGAGTGCAAATAAGTAAAATAATAGATAAACAGAAGAGAAAATCAATGAAACCAAAAGTTGGTACTTTAAAAAGATCAACAAAATTGACAAAACTTTAGTTAGATTGACTAAGAAAAAAAGATAGAAGACTCAAATTACTAAAATGAGAAGTGGAAGTGAGGACATTGCTGCTGACCTTGCAGAAATAAAATGGATTGTATACTATGAACAATTGTATTTCAATACATTAGATAACTAAATGAAATGGACAAATTCTAGAAATACAAAAATTGTGAAAACTGACTCAAGAAGAAATATAAAATCTGAACAGACCTATAACAAGTGAAGAGACTGAATTAGTAATAAAAAAAAACCCCAACAGGGGCCGGCCCCGTGGCTTAGTGGTTAAGTGCGTGCGCTCCAATACTGGTGGCCTGGGTTCAGACCCCAGGCGCGCACTGAAGTACCGCTTCTCCAGCCATGCTGAGGTGGTGTCCCACATACAGCAACTAGAAGGATGTGCAACTATGACATACAACTATCTACTGGGGCTTTGGGGGGAAAAAAAA